AGGTTGGGCCTCTGGCCGCGCTTGCTGGGCAGGTCGATGCATTTCTCCAGCACCGGCATCTGGTCTCTGGGGTCCTCATCGAACTGGGTGGGCTGCTTCCGGGGCCGCCCGCGCCGCTTCTTGACGAAGTTGTTGCCTGTCTTTGATTGTCTCTGCAGCCGCTTGGCCTTCAGGATCTTGTTCACGTGGTCCAGGTTCTTCTTGGTGGACAGGATCTTGGTGTAGTTGCACATCTTCCGAACCTCGCACTGGATGGCTTCGATCTCCCGCCGCTTGAACCGCTTCTTCAAGGAGGCGCTGGCTGCAGAGAAAAGAGAGGAGAGGTTGACCCCGGGTGGAAGCCGGCCTGCTATTTGGCTGTAAAGTTGATGGAGAATCAGTGCTGTGGATGAGACTCAGTCCCCAGTACCGAGTCCTTTTTCTTTATTTAGCAAAATTAATAATAGGCTGGGCGGGGTAGCTCAGGCCTATAATCACGGCACTTTGGGAGGCTGAGGCGAGAGGATCACTTGAGGCCAGGAGTTCGAGACCAGGCCAACAGAGTGAGATCCACCCTCCAAAGAAAATAAATAAAAATAAAAATAAGATTTAGTAGGGCATGGTAGCATGCATCTGTAGTCCCAGCTACTTGGGATGCTGGGACGAGTGGATCACTTGAGTCCAGGAGTTCACGACCAGCCTGGGCAAGAATGTGAGACCCTGGTTTCTACAAAAACAGAAAATAAGATAAAAATAAAATCTAGCCAGGCACGGTGGAGCATGCCTGTAGTCCCAGCTACTCAGGAAGCTAAGGCAGGTTCATTGCCTGAGCCCCCAAGTTGGCTGTGGTGAGCCAAGATTGTGCCACCGCACTTCACCCTGGGTTGACAGAATGAGCCGCTGTCTCCTAAAACAAAAATAAATAAATTAAAAATAATACAAAGAAACACTGGTCGAACATATATTGCATGTGCAAAATATTGATACAATATTTCAATTCTTCCAACAATTATGTGAAATACTATTGTTTCTATTTTAAAGATTTAGAAACTGAGGCTCACCCTGTTGAGGTGACCTGCTCTGGAACTGTAAGAGTCAATGGCATAATCACAAATAAACATTTCCTCATTATTTTTCTTATTACAGGGTTTTTAAAAAATGCATTCAGCTCTTTGAATTCGATTTGATTCAATTTAGTATTAGGCTATAATTTCTGTTTGTAGATGCTGGATGAATAAAGGACACACAGGCATCTATACCAAGTAATAGGGACCATCAAGCCTTGTGGAAGAGAGATACCTTGCTGGGTCTAGAATATATAAATGAAAGGTTTCATTCCTAACCATCCTCTACTGACAGGAGGACTGTGTCCTACTGTTGGGATGGACCCTCTCTCTACATTTTCCCCCCAATGTGCAGGACTTGTCGAGTCGCCTGATGGGGTCCAGCTAGCCGAGTCCTTCGTAACCAGTCCATCCTCTGGGAACCCCGAGGGAAATACCAGCCAGGTGTTTCCCAGTCAATTATACTCGCCCTACCCAGCTGTTGTTTGCAAAAAGCTCCTTTCATGTCCTGGTGGCCAGATGGGCCCCTGTTTTATGAGCCCGACTTCTGGTCTCAGGAAGTCCTGCACTGCCGCTGCTAAATGGCCTTCAGAACTGCTTGGTTTTGAAGTTCGGATGCCATAAAGTGTGAATGGCTTCAAGACAGAGCCAGCTATTCCTTTAGATTGTTCTTTCTCCTTGCGTTGTTCATGAGCAGAGACACACATGGGCATGCATGGGCACACACGCACGTGTACACACACATGCACTTCAGGACATCATCTTCACTGTGGTCACGCCCTCTAGCTACCTATAAATTTAAGAAGTGTGTCCTCACTAGGTTGCTGCTGTGATTTACCCTAAAGGGTCAACCCCAAAGAAGCCCATGTGGAAGGCCAGGGTGCTTAGCAAAATGCATTTCATTTTAGCATTTTGGTTTGTTGTTTCCTTTCATCATTATTTTTTTCACCTACTAGTAGAGAAGCAGAATAAATATCTAAGGGAGAGGAGGAAAAAGATACCTGAACTATGGATGCCATTCTGGTTTACTCTTGGGTACCCCCATTCATCCTTTTCACTGCTTCGGCCCCTTTCTCCCTCATGCTGTGCCCGCCACACAATGCCAGGAGGGTTTTATTTGAAGTTATTTACGCCACCAGCGGAGTTCCATGGGCCAGGTCAAAATGTTACTGCTTTTGGCCAAAGGTCAGTAAGACCGAGCAATGCATAACTACCGAAAAATCTTTAAAATAAGTTATAAAGATCAAAATAGGCCACAACCAGAGTGAGCTTCTGACTACAAAAATAAAATTTCTGTGGTTAGTCTTCTAAAAGAAAAGGTTGCTCCATGGTGAGTTCTCAGATGCAGGGACCGGTTCCTGTCTGTCTTTTTGTACCCTACAGGGCCTGTCATGGTGATCCTTTGATAACAGGGATTTAAGAATTGTTTCTGGACTGACAGATCAGGCTAATCATTGCCACCTAGTATTCATATTCTCTAAAAGAGTTCTGGTTTGGATTTTTAAAGCAACTGTTGCAAATATAGTGACACTGAAAGTCAGCAGTCCTCTATATCAGGGACAATTAATTTACCTTGTCCACATAGTTCAGGAGTAAATGGAAACTGATCAGAGATACTCCACAAAACTTCTGGCACTATTCCAAGTACAGGTTCCCCCTGTAGCTTACCTTCTCTTTAGTTTATTATCAATCATGGAAGAAGAAGAAAGTGCTATGTGATATAGAATATAGCATAAAAGTATAACATACACCACTTTGCTGACAAACAACACAGCATAGAAGAATAAAGCCAATCAATGAGTTGGCAATATTGTATTTGACCAAGGGAAGCTTGAATAAAATACTTCATGGGCTAGAGGTTGTTTGGGGCAAATGTAACCAATGGATTGTCCCTCCAAGTGTTTTCTTTTTTAAAGGAAATGCCAAACAACAACAATAAAAAATTCCACTAAAAACTCAAAACCAAAATAAAAAATAAAGAAAAATCTAATAGACAATTCCATATTCAAAAATGTGTTATATGCTGAATAATCTTTAAGTCCTTGCATTAAAAAATATTATAAAATGAAAATTAATTCTGATAGTGAACCCTAACAAAAAGTACTAAAAACAAAAAGCCAATTCCTATGTACCCACCATTCACATTCAACACATGTGAACTTTTTGTCATATTAGTTTTTTTCCCCCCTGAATCAGGATCTCACTTTGTTGCCCAAGCTGGAATGCAGTGGCATGATCATGGTTCACCACAGCCTTGAGACCTCCTGGGCTCAGACAATCCTTCCACCTCAACCTCGAGAGTAGCTGGGACTACAGGCACATGCCACCATGCCCAGCTAATTTTTTGATTTCTTGGTTTTTTTTCGTAGAGATGAGGTCTTACTATGTTTCCTAGGCTGGTCTCAAACTCCTGAGCTCAACTGATCCTCCTGCCTCAGCCTCCCAAAGTGTGTTGGAGTATAGGTATGAACCACTGTGTCCAGCATGAAATATCAGGTTTTGTTGTTGTCGTTTTTAGTAAAGAAAAAGTATTATAGATAGAGGTAAGTCATAGATTCCCTCTCCCTTTCTTTTTATGCTTATATTTGTACTTTTATTTCATATATGTGAACTCCTAAGTCTTGATCTCCCTAATGTTGCAGATAATGTTAATAACTGGGAACCCTTGCACACTGTTGGTTGCTGGTGTTATCATTTGGGTGAGCCACTGGGCAGTCACTGTTAGAGTTAAAATTTTGTGTGTCTAACGCTCCAGCAACTCCATGTCAAGATGGCCACCTTGACTCCTCTGGAACAGGAGGCAAAGTCGTGCTGATATTCCTTGAAGCTCGATGTTTGTTACAAAAAACTGAAAACAATAAATGTTCATTAACGGGGTCACGACTCAATTGTGATACGCTAAACAAAGGGATATTATGTATCTGTTAAAATGAATAAACTGCAAATAAATGTCAACATGATTAAGTCTTATTTTAAAAGGTGGGCAAAAAAGGTACTCACAAAAGCATAGGTTAGTGTGCCACATACATAAATTTAAAGGCACAGATTCCCCAAATTTTTATCTAATCTTCAGTGTGCAGGTGTGGATATTTAAAGTGACTACTGTGTGGGAGAATTAACTGTGAGTCAAAGACCTAGTGGATGGATTTCCGCATCGACTTCCCTCCAAAGACATGTTGTAGACCTTTATGAGGTCTCCCAACAGAATTTTCAGCAGTGGTGGAAACATTCTTTATGTGGGTTGATGCATAGGCAGCCACTAGCTACATGTGGATACTAAGCACTTGAAATGTGGCTGGTGTGACGGAGAAATGAATTTTCAATTTCATTTAATTTTAATTTAAGTAACTACAATGTAGACACGGCTTTGGACCTAACCACTCCAAAATACAGAGGACAGAGGACACATAGGGATTCATTCAGTAAAATGTAGACTGTCAGGAACTCTTGGCAAATGACCTGGCATCTTCAATAAGCAAATTGCAGGGTGAGGGGAGGAGAAACTGTAATTTTAAAGGGACAAAATGACATTTGGATGCCAATTTGAGCAAGTTGTTAAAAGAGATCATGCAAAAAATGGAGATTCGAGCACTGGATATTTCATGATATATAATTATTGTTAATTTGTATAGGTGTGATAACTGCATTGCTATTGTGTGTGTGTATTTTTTGGGGGGTGCCTATCTTTTTTTTTTTTTTTTTTTTTTAGAAATGTATACTAAATTATTTATGGATGAAATCATATGATATAATCCTGGATTGGCTTCAAAATACCAGGGAAGGGAAGAGGCAGGAGGAGGTATTGATAAAACAAGATTGATGGTGAGATGATATTGTTGAAGCTAGAGGTCATATTGACAGTACACAAGTTTATTCATGCTATTCTGCCTGCTTTGGTATATGCTTGACATTTTCCATAATACGAGGTTAAAAAATTGTAAATAAATGGCCATGAAGCATCTTAACATCGTAGGACTGGAGAGAGCTCTGGTTTTAATTCTGCTGAAACTCTGTTTTAGCTGCATAATTTTGGAATGATAAGAAGAGATAGTCTCAGTGAAGGACTTGCCTTACCATCTCCCTAGAAAACTTACATTCGTAGCTGCCCTCCTGGTTTGATGGCTTAGGAGAAGGAGTAAGTTTTCTGTGCTTCACGCTTTGACCACCTGCATGAATATGTCATGAGCCAACTTCTGTTCACAGCATTGAGTTGGGATGCCGTATTCCTCTTGCTTTTGTACACTGTATTATCCTCTTT